TCTCTCTCTCTCTCTCTCTCTCTCTCTCTCACTCACTGCCATCGCGTGTAGCAAACAACTGATCGCCCACACTCTCTCTCTCTCTCTCTCTCTCTCTCTCTCTCTCTCTGTCGATAAATAATATTTCCGTGCGACACAACGAGTAACTAGCAAACTTTTTTCACTCACAAATTGTACCTTTTATTGAACTTTTACGAATTAATCCACGCACTTTATCGATAAACTGGATTTATTAACAATTATAACGGTTAATCACAATCTACCGATTACTACCGATTAATTATTAAAATAACTCGAAGAAACGCATTATTCGATGCGGAGACTGCGCGACGACAACAAGCAGGTTATGTCGGTACTAGCGTTGCCGGCTGCCGGCTGCCGAATGACTGAATGTATCACATTACACGTGATCGACGCGGACGCTATCATGTGTCCTGTGATCGGCTAAAGCCTCCGACATTGTAAATTTGATAGTTTCGAAAATATGAAACTATAAAATATGAAAATATAATGACGTATAATAACATCGTTTTTTTTTAATAATTTAACTTATTACTCGTTTTGCCTTTTTTCGTAAGCGACACATGAGAAAAATTATTTTTATGTCTCTGCGAATACAAGGTGTTCCACGTAGAAATGTGTTGGTCGCTCTGAAAAGAGCGGATTGCCTTTGGTCGCTCTGAAAAGAGCGGATTGTCTTTGGTCGCTCTGAAAAGGGCCAACGTATTGGGCCATATCGACCCATCCAACGTCCAGGAAACTACTCGTTTAAATAATTTGTAACGATCCTGGCGTTGTGTGGCCCAGCACCATCTTGTTGAAACACGATCTTGTTTCTCTCTAATAATGATACTTCTTCTAAAAAATCTGGCAGATTTTCTTCCAAAAATTCCAGATATGTTTGGCCAGTTAAAATATCTGGAAGAATAACTGGACCAAGTATTTCGGTCCCCATTATTCCAGCCCACACATTTATTTTCCAACGAGTTTGGAAGTTTCTTAATCGCGTGACTCTGGGATTTTCCTCGCTCCAAAAATGCATGTTATGCAAATTGAAAATTTCCGCTCATGTGAATAACGATTCATTGCTGAATATCACACGAGAAGAGTATCTGGGATTTCGATTTACTTTCCTCAGAAAATTTTCGCAAAACGTACGTCTCGCTTGAAAATCTTCTGATCGTAAATCTTGCACGCGTGTGTAGTGATATGCGTGCAACTTTTCTTCTTTCAATATTCTTTGCACAGTTGCATAAGATAAATCGTGTTCTCGAGCAACCACCCGAATACTCGTTTCGGGTTTATGCTCGAAAGCACGTATAATTTGCTCCGCGTTCTGCAAATTTCTTGCATCGCGATTTCTCCCAGTGTCGTGTTTATTTGGAAGGACACTGCCAGTCTTCTTTCCACGCCTATCCTGATAGTGGTTTCCCGGCGATTTACGGTAAAATAACCTGTGGATTCGCCATTCGCTTCTTACAGTCATAAAGTGCATTCAAGAGTGCATTTTCTAACGTATTTGTTGAGTGCATTTTGTAACGTACCGCTTCGCTGTAACGATAAAAAGCGATTAGCCAAACATAAAACGATCCTACGTCGTGTCGCGGCGAAACAAGGTAATTGGAAGGCTAAAAGAAAGCTGTTAGTGCAACGTGGCGGATTTTTACCTTATCTTATTGGCCCTATACTAGGTGTTATATTATCCCGAATTATCGGCGAGTGAAAAAGAAAAAATACAACCTTAAACATTCCTACATTTTCCGTACAGGTAAAAATAATAAAAATAATAAAAAAGGAAAATGTTAACACCTGTAAGTCCCGTGGTAAGTGGTGGGGGCTCCCATTTCCCACGAACTGGCAGCTCTGATCCTCGCTCGCACGTCCGCGCAATATCGCAAACAACTGTTGTTTGTTGAACAACAATTCTTTGGCATTTATTTCAGAAATAATTTTGCATACTAATGATATTCCATACATAAATGTAAAGCGAATTTTATTTACCGGACCATTTTTTAGTACTCCATGTGACTCTAAGGAACTACTGGGTATACAAACTTTTACAGAAACAAGTCCTTTTAACATTGAAAAATTGCCGACAACAAATATAAAAACAAAATGTTTGAAATTAAAACATCTTGAATTGCAAGACACATTTGTTATAATTCCACTTTTGCATGCATACACATAATTATTTTTATTTTAATTTTTGTTCTTATCTTGCAATAGTTTTATGAGTAGTATAGGGGCCACTATAGCTAGACACAACAAACCCCCACAACCGACCCCGACCCCCTGCTGTGAGCCTGTCTGGCCACGCCCACCACAGGTACCTATGGAAAAAAAGAGGGGACTCGTGGACGTCTACGAGATAATTTTAATTATTTAAAAAAAGGGGGAGGGAACACGTGAACGTCTACGAGACAATTTTCCATTTCTTTTTTTATTTCAAATTATTTCCTTCTAAATTTTTTTATTTTTTTTTTCCGGGGCGAGTGGAATTACTCGGGGTTCGAACTTGGGTTCTCCACATTTCCAGTCAGGGTCCTAGTATGCTGGGCTAGCTGAAATCTTATTAGAATAAGGATTAGATGTAGTATTTGTAGAGAGTAGCCCTTCGGCATAGGGGATCCTGCGCTCTGATTGGCTTCCCTATAGTGGCCGGCAGTTTGATTGGATGAGGAGCATTGTTTTTGAGTGAGAGGGAAAAACGCGGCAAAATAACACGTGTGTAAGAATCGGCAAGATGGCGGCCACCGAGGATGGAGATGTCCCTCTATATGGCACCCACCCTCCCCACCTCCCTTACGGAAAACCGGAGGATATCGTGCGGTATACGTCATCGCCCCATCGCCCCTTTTAGAGGAAAACCGGGAGATGTACGGTATATGTCGCCCACCCTCTTCCACCCTTCCTGTTGAAAAGAGAAAAATCGAATACCGCTAGAATAAAGCAAGTAATATGACGCTACATGAACACGTGCGTACATGTTGTTGTACAATGGGCAGGGTTGACCGGGTAGCTGAGACTGCTTGATACGGAGTCTTAGGGCAGAGGCTATGACGTCACGGAGACGCCGGGATGGACATATTTAATTTATTTTAATATCTTTCCTAATGCACGTTTTGTTATTACTGCAATATACTACTTCATGTGTTTAAGTGTGTTTCTATGTTATATCTACAAATATATTATGTTTTATTTTATTAATTGACTTCATTGCATTATATCATGTAACATTGACACAAAGTATTAATAAATATTTACATTTATTATTTTATTTACTCTTTCTTTCTCCTCCCTCCCCCCTTTTTCTCCCCCTCACCCTTCTTTCTCCCCCTCTCCCCTTCCCCTTTCTCTTTTTTTCATTTATGTTTATTTACATATATACAAATAGATGTAGACTTAAATATATTATTTGACATATACAAGGTGTCCCAACAAAAGTGGCCACCTATTTTCTTCATTTTTCTTCTTCATTTTTTCAACATCTTCCTATTATTATTTGTCTTTATTTGTTCCTTACTTCTTTCTATCGGTCTTCTTCCTTTATATTTTAAGTACGATTCTTAAATCTGATTTTTTTCTTTATCTCTTCGTTCTGTATCTCTTCATTTGTTTGAAACTTTTTATGTTCTCTTTTCTTTCTGCCTCTTATCTATCTTTCTTCACCTTTTGTTCTTTCTTTCTTTCTTTCTCTCCTTTTCTCTTTTATATAATGTATAATTTTATATAATTTTATACAGTATGTTAATAATAAAACCAACATAGCATGCGTTTATAATATTCAAATCTTTTCAAATAAAAGTAAAACATGAAGTCATAATTCTCTCTTCATTTTCTCGATAAACAAATTATTTTTTATATGAGAATTCAAAGAATGCAAAATATTATACAAATAATTCTTTATATACATAATTCTTAACATATCTATTATCTCGCTGATTACCAAGATAAACTTTCATTGTTTGCCAAGAACTCTCTAAAACGCATGGTTACTCGTCAATTCATTTCTAAGCGTTGCTAAGAATTTAAACAATCAAAAATTAAAAAGTAATCATTTCAGTACAAAATTTAAATATACAAAATACATATATATCTTTTTATCTTTCATATATTTTTACTTATACAGGGTGAGTCATTTTAATCAACGCACGCAAATATCTCGTAAAGTAAGCAAGATGGAAAAAAATATTTTATACAAAAGTTGTAGGGTTCAGAGGGGGACACATGATGAAAATATGGACTTGACCTTGAGTGACCTTTTCAAGGCCAAGTCAATGTGATCGATATTTTCTTAAATGGAACCCCCCATTTTTTATTGCATATTCTTATAGCTTATGTCGAGAGCTTTCCAAAACACTATAATAAAGTATTTTTTCATTAAGTACTTTTTGAGTTATTTTATATTTTATTCTGACATATTTTGATATAAAAAATAAAATATCTCGTAAAATATTCAGTTTTTGATAATCTTACCGTAATACTTTTATGTACAGAATAATGAGACAAATCAATTAGTATAAAAAAATAATTGTTTTTAAGAAAAAGTATGTAATTATTTACAATGTATTTTTTTAAAC